ATAAGAGTAGCTTATGGCTGACTAGAAAGCTCGAACAGATTCAGTAGACGAGAGTTATGTTTTAGCTCTCAGCGGCTCCGAGCTCAACTTTCGACAAGTCATAACTTTCTTATGACTCAGTTTCTCAATCTATAAAATATCTTTCTTTACACTTTAAAAGGATCGTGTGAGGTGAGAGGAAAAGGAAAAGGGAAGGAGGAAGAACAATGATATATGGCTTGGGACATAATGACGTTCTTGGAAAGCAGAAATGCTGATTTGTATAAACGTACAGAAGAGTCAGCAGAGAAACCGGTGTGAATCACACTAAGGAAAAGAAGAGGGAGCGATCCGGAAGAGGGACAAAAGTTTGAATTAACTGTGCCAATAAGAAATGAGTATATTGTCCTAGAGACATATTTTTGTATGTGTGTTTGTAATAAGTATAAGTACCATTCAGTATTACGATACAGTAAAGTATGTGAAGAGATCAGTGAAGATGCTTTGGTATTTTAGAACGCAATGAAATATTGATTAATAAAGCCAAAGTGGCATCATTAGAAAAATAAAGGATGATTTAAGAGATAACTGGGTGGGTGGGAAGGCAGAGGAAGGAAGAACACTGATCTAGGGATCATCAAGGAACAAGGAGGAACGGGGGGGGGGGGGCAGTGCAGGCAAGAGGTGAGCCGCAGAGACATCTGCCTGATGCCAGTAAAGAGCCCACCCTGGAAAACCTGATCTGTTTTCAACAGCGAGCCAGACACTGTATGGATGATCAAATAAAAAGGGAAAAGACTAGCACTACCGAAAATTTAATAAAAGCTAAACAAGAAGGCGGGAAGGAAATTGAATTTTAATAGTATGAACTATAACATGCTTGATCAGTGGTCCCACTTGACATACATCCCTGTCCGCTGGATGCCACTGAAGCCACCACAGTTGGTCTCCAGCTCTTTTCTCTCTGGACCAGGGAAAAGCTGACAGGAGAAAAGAGCCACGTGTGGATTTAAATTCTGGCGGACAGGACACTACTCTGTGCTCTACTATTTTGGATTTCACTAAACCTTTCAGAATGTTGTGAATTTTCGTAAAAGAATGTCACTACATCCTTCAGAGCCCGGGTTTCCTCACCAGTGAATTTATCAAATTATTTGGTTTCAGCCGAGGATCTTTCACTTTCTCCCAGTTTTTAATGTCTTGGGCTTTAAACAAGTTTGGTTAAAGTGGAGAAAAGTTATCTGAAATCACCACTCTGAAATACCCACAAGTATAGTTGCAAGGAACTAGAAGAATTTCTTGGGCTTAAAATAAATGCCACTTTTAAACTGAAAGGAAGAAATCCTTTGGTATATTTAATTAATCACATTGAGCTTTCGCAAATGGTAGTGATTCCTATTGTCACTGTGGTAACAATGGTTTGCCATGCAACCCAGTACAAAGAGATTTAAGACAAAGCAAAACAAATCTGGCCTAAGATGAAAATACTAATACACTCTTACACTACAGAGTCTGTTGTCAAGCAGGCTCTCCCACCCAGAAATACATTTTCTTCCAAGATGGCACTACGGTTCCCTGCGACAATTTAATTAATCAGCTCTTTTTATAGTAATCTAAGTTTGCAATCTCCTGGAATCAGTTCTTTCCATATAAATAGAGGTTAAGATAAATTTTAAAGCCCAGGCAAAGAAAACAAATTAATGGTTCAAGTATTTTGTGCCCCAGTGAGAAATAAAAACTTAACCATTACCATGGCAAATAAAGATGTGGTAGTGGGAAGCCACTAACACACACAGAAAAACTTCAAATTAAAAAAAAAAAGTATATATATATTTTCCAATCCTGCGTTAGATCTCTTGAGCTCTAGATGTATGCATAGATTAATCTAGTGAAAACATGAAATTATATTACCTTATGAGAGAAATGCCCATTTTAGAAAACCTGATGTAACCACTATTCTTACAGGCAATTTAAAATGTTATATATTGCCTTTTATTACAATAAAGACAAAGAATGTTTTAACTTTAAAAGAGTCGGTGGGAAGGGGAGTAATTCCAGTGTTTATAGAATAAAAGCCTAATAATACTAGAAGGTAGATTGGTTGGGGAATAACGGAGCAGACACAATTACTGGGATTGTCTCTCTTCCACTCTCTCAGGCTCCAGGATAAAGAAGAATCAATTAGCCCTCCACAGACTATGACCTTGAAGGCTACAGCTCTGTGCATAATATGCTGAATATGCTCAGACAGATAGGAAAGGGAGAATAACGTCTTGAAACCACTGAGGAGCATGTTTCAGATGCGACAATCCCGTCTTAACATGTATACCACCACAGCGTAGCTCATGTCAAAAACACACATGACGAAAGGAACGCTCTGGTTCTTCCTGGGACTAAGCATTACTTTCTGAGTTGAAGGGAAAAAAAGTGAACGAGGTTACAAAATGACAGTCTGACTCCAAGCTTTTTTTTCCCTTGCTTTCCTTTAGTGCATGGCTACAAGCTTTTTAAACAACAAAGCAACCACTCATAGGAGTGTTTGAAAGCAAAGCTCCCTGGACCAATCTCCCACCCCTCTCCTCCCAAAAAATAGACTCCTAATTTTTAGGATATTAAGTGTTTTTGTTGTTTTCAGGCACTAGGCGGAAAAAAAATTAACACAGAGTTTCCTACACAGAAAACCCATAGGCTGTAAAGTGTCAAGCACCGTCTACCCCTAACTTTTCAGGAGAAAACTACTTACAAGCTGATCTCCAACGCACTTCAAAATGCTGCAGCTGTGTCTCTGGCCAGAACTGGCCACTGCGATGCTTTTAGGCAGCAGTAAATCTTTTCCACTCAATGCAAATGCCAGAAAATCAATGCCCAAGCTCGAAAATAAAGAGAAGAGAAACTATATGGAATGCATACCCTAGGAAAACACTTAGTAGAAGAATTTACCTTCAAAAATAATTTCTCAGAAAGTCACAACATACTTTTTGACATGGTCCTAGATCAGGAAAAGGTAACTGGATGGTTCTTTGTTTGCTTCCCCCCCTCCCAAAGATGACAAAATTATAGACTTTACTTGAAGAGGTTTGTTTTTTTTTTTTTCCCCCAAAGGGTCCTCTTTCTTTTTCTGGACAACTAAACCTCTTTGGGCACATTTTAATTAAAGACAAGTTTCAAGCGATAAAGACAAAGAAGTAACCTTGTCTTCATGGTGAATTTTGCTTCTCTTTTCAGGATCTGTACTTGCTTTTTATAGCCTGTCATTTCATCTGGGTATTATTTCCTGGTCACTTTGCCAGGTGGGAAGAGGCGATGAATGCAGTGATGTCTATCAGACCTTTAATGATGCTTCAGGGATTTGATAAAGATACAAAGCAGTGTCTGCAGAAAGGAGGTTCTTTCCTAATTACACCTGAAAAACAAGCCTCTCCCTCTCTTTTTTAATCTTTGCCACTGAAACTGCTGTGTATGAAACGATCTTGAATCACAAGCACAAATCAAGTTTTCTGTGTTTCTCTACCACATGGCTCTCCCTCATTTGGAACATAATGTCTGGAAAAGATATTCTTTATTTTTCCTTAGCATCCAGAGGGAAACAGAAGGGGTGAGTATTTCATCACGGAACCCTTACCCTCAACTCTAGGAGATTTTACACACGTTATTAAGAACCAAATCCTCTCATCTTTCACTTTTTTCTACTAAGGGAATATTCATCAATGGGAGAAAGTGGTAGAAGACAGAGAGACGAAAATAAATCAGAAACATTTAGAAAAAAGAGTCACAGAGGAGGGGTGACTCAGATGGTTGAGCGTCTGCCTTTGGCTCAGGTCATGGTTCCAGGGTCCTGGGATCGAGCCCCACGTCCGGCTCCCTGCTCAGCGGGGAGCCTGCTTCTCCCTCTCCCTCTGCCTCTCCCACTGCTCATGCTCTCTTTTCTCTCTGTATCTCTGTGTCTCCAATGAATAAGTAAAAAAAAAATCTTAAAAAAAAAAAAGAAGCTAGAGGAAACTCCTCCCTCTCTACTGGCGTTTGGAGCAATCTGACTAGTCATGGTTTCATCCCTGTCAACTTTCCATTGTAAAAGCATCGCGCGGCCCCAGTCGGAACAGGAGCACATTGTTCTGTACTGTTTTAAGAGCGTGGGCTCTCCTCACTCACAGGTTATTAAACTGTGTGGCTGCAGGGCAAAAAATGACACGTCTGGGAAAAACAACAACAACCAAAAAAAAACAACAAAAACGATGTACCTTCCTGATGGATCTTGTACTTTTTAATGACTGCCAAGGAAGCTCTTTGAACATTTGATTACAGAAGACAAAACTAACTTGGGAAAATCCCTTCATGCAGACTTTGTGCTGCGTCCTGAAGAAAATAAAGCTGCCCCTCACCAGTGCTCAGGAGCTGAAATGACAATCTGGGCAGGACAGGGAGAGCCCGCCGCTGCTGGGGGCTGAGCACAGTGACTGCGCTATCAGGAAGAACCAATTAAAAGAGAAACGTGGTGAGAGCAGAGAGCGGTGAAGGGAACAGGAAGAAGGGATGGAGGCAGATACCAGGCGGCGTGGGGCTGCTGGGAGGCCAAGGGGAACTGAAGGGTGAGGAGGGGTGAGGGAAGGCTACATGGGAACGAGACAGACGTGAAACCACACTCGCCGCTCTATGGAAGTCACACTCCTTTAAAACAGAAAGGATGCTCTGCTGTCTTAATTTTTTAAAAAGTGTTAGAAATCAATGGAACTGCAGTGACATTCAAGCATGACTCGCAGACGCTCAAGCTGGGGGTCCCCCCCCCCAACCCCAGCCCGTGAACAATCTGGCTGGAGGGAACGCTGCTTCACACCAGCAGTTTGCAAGATCATTTTACTCATCTCTTCATGGCCACCCCAAGCGTTCCAGTCACATGATGTGCTTCAACAAAACCATGCAATTAAAATAGAAGACAAGGAAACAGCTCCCTGTGCTAGAGAACGCCTTTTGGCGCCTCAAGCCCACCCCTTTCCATTATTCATCACCTCTCTCTCTCTACTTACAAAGTTTAGGAGCAGTTTGGAGATTAGTTTCTGTTGTTTGTGGCTGAGTTGCTGACTTGGGTGTTCTCACCTCAGGGTTCCGTGTGGGGAAAGGGAAGGATGGTGCGGTGGACGGCAGGAAAGAAAAAGCAAAAATACGATTCTTCGGGGTGGGTACCGCTGCGGGTTGGGAGGACACAACAGCATTGTCAACTTGCAGTGTAACTTGAACCTCAGTTTCAGAGGGAGCCCTAGAGACAGGTGAAGTGTATGTCTCAGATGCTACCCACACAGCTGAGGCAGCAGTTGGATCCAGAGAAATAATAGGGTCCTGGCCTAACCCCCCAGGGTCAAGGTGAGTAGGAGAGTCATACTCAAATATCTTGTCCACGAACACCCACTTGAGGCCGGCAATGCAGAGGCAGAGGCTGACTAGACAAGCCAGAATGGGGACAATGCAGATTTTCTCTGAGTTGAGGCAACCTCTCAGGCGCTCGGCTTCCAGGCAGACACAGCAGGGAGCTGCCAGGCCCACGAGTCCAGGGGTTCTCCCATCTTCAGTCTGGGTCTCTGGCATGTCTTCTGCTGCCGGAAGCCCGTCAAGAGATGGGTCTGCACTCAGCTGAGTGGAGGGGCTGGAGGACCTCTCAGCAGCTCCCTCGGACATGTCTGGGGAATAAATCTCCATCGGCTCACCTCCAGAAGGCCTGGCCTCTCTCACGGTCCATTACCATGCAGAGCCCCCCCCAACCAAATGATGCAGCATCTTACATGGGGAAATCGATAAGTCTTCCAAGTCCAAGGCCATTATCAAAAGCAAGAGGAGTTCAGGAGGCAGGAAGGAGGAAAAAAAGCCTCTAGCAAACTACCAAATACAAGTATATTGTAATTCGTGACGGCTGTTTCTGGGCCACTTTTGCAGTTCTTTCAAATGCTTCTCCAAACCATCCCGGCTGGTCAAGAGGACCGGGGCCAAAACCGAAACCGAGCCGAGGGTTGGTCAATTAGGTAAACCAGTAGCCCAAACTGAAAGGCATGTTTCTCACCTCGAGTATCTGAAGCTGCTGTCTGCTTAGATGGAGAAAGCAACTGTCATGCAGGAGAAGTAAAAGCAAAAGCAGGACCAGCGGCGGCGGTGGCGGCGGCGGCGGGAAGAGAGGCAGCAGGGCCAGTAGCAACAGCATCCTGTTGTGTTAACGCGACGGCTGGAAGAGGCTGAATCATTATAGAGCAGCAGGTGCCTGCCCTGCGAGCATCACTGCAAACAGGGTCATGGCAGAGGGATCCGAAGGGAAGAGTGCGGCCCCGGAGGGGCGGTGACTCCCCTCCCCGCCCTGCCTCCACCCCCACCCCCCAGCCACTCCTCTTTGTCCTTCTGGAGCGCTCATTCACTTTCTTCCTCTGCAGCTCGCCCGGCCCTGCTTCATAGTCTCTTTCTCTTCCTTTCCCCTCCCCATCCAAAGACGTTCTCTCTCCCTCTCTCCCTCTCTCTCTCTCTCTCTCTCTTTTCTCCTCCCTCCTCCCTCTGTCCGTACTCCAGAGCTGCTGGATGCTCTGAGTAAAATCAGTACACCCAGCAACGCAGGACTGCCAGTGACTTCCTATTTTATCCAATTAGAAGGAATAAAGGCCATCAAATCAAAGAGAAGCAGGCAGGCACCAGTTTAAGCTCAGTCCCCATGGCCCCCACCCCGCTTCTTCCCTTTTTCCTTTTCTCTCCACAAGAAGCGGCCCCCGTTTTCCACCCCCACCTTGCTCGCTTCCAGTCTTGCCGGTTCTCTTTCCTTCACCCACTGTTGGGTCAGAAAAAGCCAGCGATCGATGCTAGCAATCTAACAAAGCTGGGATGGGGCGGGGGATGTAGGTGGGACCTTATGGGTTGGACCTGAGGCTTGGCAAAGTCTGATATCTGATTCCTCCCTAGAGAGGTAAGCTTTTCAACAGCAATTTCTTCTTGCCTGCCGCTGAGAGATAGCATTCCTTCCCCTGCCCTCTAGTAAGTTTTGTTCACCAAGAGGACTGGTATTACCTGATCTTCAACCAACAGTTAGAACATTTTTTTCCGAACCATGGACAGCTCTGCCTTCAGCCCCGTTCCCGACGATCCTGTAAGACTTTCCAATACCCAGGGTGAAGCGATGTTGGAGGAGGGGTGCTAGGCGAGGGGAGACGTGTTCACGTAGCCCCACTCTGGTCCCACTTAAATTTCCATTTCCTCTTCCCACCCGCAGCAGTCCGAGACTAATGTCAAGCTAATAAGAAACACTGGTAAATAGCGCTCTTCATTTTGAAATTAGCCTTCATGGTGACTCCACACTGCAGAGGTTTGAATTCCCTGGGTGCTGTAATATATACCACATGTCCTCAGCTAGAACCACACTGCAAGTATGAAGAAGAGTTTTCCACTAAAGTGAAGAAGAAATAAAGGATTTCTCCAGACAAACAAAATTGAGGGGATTTATAGCCAGTAGCAAGAGATAGTAAACAGATTCTTTAAAGAGAAGGAAAGTGATATAGGTCAGAAACTCAGATGCACATGAAGAAAGGAAAAGCACCAAAACAAAACAAAACAAAACAAAACAAAAGTGACGGTAAAAAAAAAATTTGTTCTTATTTTTGATTGATCTAACAGATAAGAGTTTGCTGAAAATGATAATAGCAACAATGCATTTGATTATGTATGATTATGTGTAAAAACCTACTCATGTATGCTTACATATAAGTGAAATAAATAAAGGCAATGATCCAAGAAATGGCGGGGGGGAAGCATGCCTTTTGTGTTAGGTTTCAGTAGCTTTACCTTGCAGAAAGTTTCAACGCAGGGTTTTTCTCCCCCTTATAAAATAGCAGCCCTTAAAAGGCTGGAAGAAATGCAGTCTTCAATAGGGAGTACAGGATTCCCGGAACCTCCCATTCTTGCATGTCAGTTCACACTATATGCATCTGAACCTTTAATCCCTGCTTTACTGTGACTGCACACTCAAATGGTTTCCAAGGAACCATTCTGCTCACCTATGTCAACAGGACTCTTAAAAACTCTCTCTAAATGTATACTACACACACAAACAGCATATGAGTCCCAGAAGCAATAAATTTAGAGCTCAAGTCCTGAAAAATTCTGCTTTAAGCACATTATATTTGGTGTAGCACAATCTTTCCTGCTCTTAAATAGTTTTACGCTTTAAGTGGGCATGCAATAAGAATATTACCATTTCTTTCAAAATGAAATTGGCCCATAATTATAAATGATTTAAAGGACGTTAAATCTCAAAATGTGTTTGCAGTAACAACTACTACAAAAGCCTGAGACAATTTGCCTAATTGTAATTATGACTGTGACAAGCTTATGGGCAAAATGACTTATCCTCTCCATAACCTGCACTTATATACCAATAACCAATATTTTAAAGTAATACTTAAAATAAGATCTTGTGCCGGCTTTCTAGCTTTAACTATTTTATTTTTTAAATTAATTTATTTATGTTAGAGAGGGGAGGGAGGGAGAGCATGAGCGGGGGGAGGGGCAGAGGGAGAGACTCCCAAGTAAGCTCTACACTCAGTGGGGCTGCATCTCAGGACCCTTAGATCGTGACCTGAGCTGAAACCAAGAGTCAGATGCTCAACCGGCTGAGCCAGTCAGGCGCCCCATTAACTATTTGATTTTAAAGCAGTGAGAGTTTTCTTAAAGATTCTAACAACGGACATGAAATTTCCTATCACAGGAAATCTGTTTCTTAGCATTTACAGTATTCATACTGAGAGGGGGTAACATTTTAATAATCAATATTCATGTAAATATTCAAAACCCATACAAGCAAAGTAAATGTTTATGCTAAATTAGGGTACTTTATAATTCCTTTCCAGATCACCAGTTTAAATACATGGGCCCTACCTCCTCACTTCCGTCCCAAACCAACCTTACACTCAAGTATAACACATTGGCATTTCCATTCAGAGCCAATCTAGGTTTCAAAAATCAAAATGGGGTTCAGGCAGCCCAAGTCGGGCAGGTAAGAGAAGATACCCAGGACAGTAACCCAGAGTTTAAAAAAGTGGTCCTCAGCTTGTACCAACAACTACTCACCTCAATCACTCAGAGCAAATGTAGTCTGTAGAAAAAGAAATTATCGGGCTCTGCTCTAGTTGTCATCTTAAAGACACCCAGCACTTAGAAAGGAAAACGACATATTCTACAAAGACTCAGACAAAACAGCAGAGACAAAACCCTGTGGGCTGCCACAACGATTCTTTCCCCTGGGCTACACACATCGGACTGTGGGGTGTGTACTGTCCTCCCTGGAGAGGTATTCCAAGAGCCCCGTGGCTCCTTGAAGCTAAGATAGGCTTGCGGAAAGCCAGCGTCCTGTAAAGTGGTTTCCCACCAAATCAGAAGGTGAATGTAATTGAAGAAAGGGGGTACAGGAGGTAAAGAAAAAAACAAAAACAAAAAACAGTTCTCCATCCATTCCCCCGTTGGGACTAGCGGAAGGTTGTCTTTATCCCTTAATCACATCCCCTCTAGGAGTAAAGAAGTAAGGAAGGGTGGTGTGAATCGGTGAGGGATCAGAATTTCCTTTGGCTGAAACATGCCTATTTGGAGGAAGAATCACAAGGATATAACACTTTAACCCTTCAGGCTCCACCCCAATAAAGCCCAGGAGCACCCATATTTCTGTGTCCCCTTAAAAAATAAACATGAGCCAGAATTTTGCTACCTTTTAAAAATCACATTACCACCTCGTTCATCACAACAAAAGCTACATCACACCTTGGTGCCAGGCATTCTGCTAGGTTGTTAATATATATTATTTTCTTATCTTCACTAATCCTGTACAGTACATATAATCTTCAAAAAAAAAAAAAAAAAGACAACGACTCAGGCAGCTTAGGTAACTTAGCCATGGTCACAAAGCTATTAAGTGACAGGGCCGAGATCTGAACAAAAGTCTGATTCAAGGGCGCCTGGGTGGCTCAGTCGGTTAGGCATCTGCCTTCGGCTCAGGTCACGATCCCAGGGTCTTGGGATCGAGGCCCACATTGGGCTCCTTGCTCAGTGGGGAGCCTGCTTCTCCTTCTCCCTCTGCCTGCCTGTCTCCTTGAGCTTTCTGTCTCTCTCAAACAAATAAATAAAATCTTAAAAAAAAAAAAAAGTCTGATTCATGCTATTTCTGCTGAAAAATACTGCTTTTCTTTTTAATCACAATAATGCATCTGATCATATGTTGCTTACCTACCACTTCATTGGGAGAATAAGGGAACCAAAAAGTATAACAATGAAAAAGGCTTAGTTCCTTAATGTAGTCTGTAAACAAACTTAAAGGTGCCTCCTTTCCAAAATAAGAGCTTTCTAAAATTTTGCCTAGTGATATCCAGAAGTTATAAGGATCAAGCATAGGCTATTTAAATGTGACCTACTTATAATGGAAATTGAATGAGCTCCTCCACAGTCTCGGTTCTAGCATTTTCTCTGGAAAGCGCTCTCGGTTATGTACCTCCATGAAACGAACTGCCCCAAAACAGCTTGAAAGAACAACGGTTGTTGTCTATCTCCTGAGTCTGCAGGCTGACAGGGTTCAGCTGAGTGGTTCTTCTGCTCCATTTGATGTCAGCTGGGGCAGAACGGGGCTGAACTATTGAAGATAGCACTCACGTGCCCAGCAGCTGATGCCAGATGTCAGCTGGGAGCTCAGTGGGGGCTGCAGGAGGGCACATCAACCCATGGCCTCCCCCTGTGGCTTGGGCTTCTCAAAGCATGGCGGCTGGGTTCTGAGCAGAAGCATCCCAAGAAGGAGGAAGCACAAGCTGCCAGTCCTCCTTCAGACTAAATCTGGACGCTACATGGGTTATTTCCATTGCCTCCTACTGGTGAAGCAGGACAGGGCTGGGGGGGGGGGGGAGAGGATTTAGTCTCGATGGGACGGTGACAAAGAATTTGCCGCCATAATTCATCCACCACAGAAGGTAAGGAAGTAAATGTTAGTAAGTCGACCTGGGACAAGAGGAGATGGGGTAATACAGAATGGGATTTGGCAGAAGAAAATCAAAATACACGTGTATTTCTGATCCACTTTCATAATATTCCAGCTTCCTTCTAAGCCAGCTTCAATGAAGAAAAAAGAAATCCTATCATATCATCAAATATAATGAAATTCCTCTGCTACTTCAATTCAAGCCAGGCTATTGGGTTCAG